CTCTCAAAACGCCACTAAAAACGTCGATGTAGAACAGTTTTGTTGTAGTAATATGTTTCAAGTTCTTCCCTGGTCGCACATTTGATATGTTTTTTTTAAACTTTCATTTTAACCACAAGCTTGTTTATGGATAAATCATCAGTCCCCGAAATGCTGATTTTTTTTGTTTCAGGCATAGATGTGGATTGGTTTAATTTATTGTTATAAACTGGAATTTGCTTTTTTTTTTAAATTTGGTCACCAGTGCACCAGTGCATGCTAATTTGATATGTATTTATATATTAATTTGTAATTTGATAATGATGAATATTTTACATTTAATATATAATGCACAATACATGTTTGGTACTTTCCTAATGTATTAGTTTTGTAAATACTTCTTTGTCCTTAGTTCTCTTTCATTAAATTTATCATAATAGATTATTTAATTCATTAATATGAGATATACCCTTTTTAAGGATATTTGTAGATATGTATACTAATTTTATTAGATAAAGATAAATTATTAATGTATTTCTGAAATTAGTATGTTTTAAAGTATTTATTAATGTGGCATGCTTTAGTTAAATGGCATATTAAACTGAATAAAACCTCATAAGCATTACTTAACTGAAATCAAAATAATTTGACTAAGAGTAACATTCCTTCATTTTTATATTGTTATAAAGTGATTGTCTTAATGCATAAGAAAGTTATTTTTGATGATTTTAAAATGAAAGTTTGTCCCATTAAGTGACACTAATTAAATTGTTTTCATTTCTAAAATTTGGGACCGAGAAAAAGATCATGTTCTTTTATTTAAATTCACCGGGAAAAGATTGTTAGATCGAATCCAAGGTCTCATCTCGGTGTATTTAAATAATTGAACATCCTTATTCTCGGTAAATATTGGTAAAAAAATAATTAATTATACTTGCTTGATGAATGCTTTTAATTTGTTTTATTTTTGCATGTGTTTTTCAAAAAAGTAACACTCGAATCGATATTGAAAATAGTAATATCTCTTCGTTTCGGTTGGAGTAATAAATGACCGCTGTAAGGCATGAGAGGTCATTTATTCTTGATTGGAGATAATTATATATTACTGTTTGCTCTCGAATCAATATTAAATTTTAAGATGAAATAGTGATACATTTTCATTTCGGTTGGAGTAATAAATGACCACTCTAAGGCATGAGAGGTCATTCATCCTCTATTGAAAATAATTAGATATTATTGTTTTCTCTCTTAAAATTATTTTAGTGTTGTTATTTTGAATTAATAATGAACTTTAGAATGGAATTTTAATATTTCTTTATTTCTATTGGAGAAAGAATTGATTGCTTTAAGGTATGAGAAGTCGATTCTTCTCGATATGAAATAATTTAATATTATTGTGCTTCATCCTAAAATTCAAAGAATAATATTTGTATGGAAGCTTGAATTAAGTTAGACTTGAACTCTTAAATTTCATTGCAAAGATAACTAATTAAACGACTAGGTATCGATTTAGGGACTTGTGGGGTGCTAATCCTTCCCCACACGTAACCAACTCCCGAACTCAAATTTTGGTAACGCATACCGCAAATTTGTTGTTTAATTAAAATGAATGTTTTTTAAAATGACAAATACTTTTTTGGGTACCAATGACACCCTAACCAAATATTGGTGTCGACTTCTCAAACCATGTTTTATCGTTAAGAAGTAAAAAAATCATTTTGATGCAAGTCCCCATTTCCTTTTTGGAAAGCCGTTTTCACAGTCAAGTTAAGTTTATGAAATTACAACTCAAAACCAATTCAAATCGAATTTTTCCAAGTCGAATCAAGTTAAAAAAAATAGTTTTTCGAGTCGAGTTATGTTCAAACTTGTATGCCATCACGTGAAGTATCACCTCAAAACCATTATTAGAAGTCGTTCTTCTCATTGTAAATCTTTGGATTTGCTTGCACAACAGAGTTTAGAGTGAAATGATGTACCAGTTAATGATAAGGAAATTTTGAGAAATATATTTACCTTTTCTCGGAAGAGGTGTTGTATGGTGCGATTAAGGTTGCCTTCCCAACGCCCTCCTTTCCTCCACCCAATTAGTGTAACTTTATGTAACATTGGGGTGCTTGAGTATCTTCGAGAGAACATCTTCATCTTTGGACAAATGTCCACAAGTAGAGTTTTTAAGGATGGAAACCCAAAGGGATAATTCCCTGATGAGCAGAAACTCTCAAACTTTGGTAGAAAATAAAATTTCAAAATGTTGAGTTGGGGTAAATTGATTTCATCATCATCCCTACCTTGTATTATTTCAAAATGTAAAGATGCCGAGGATGGAACCAGATTAATTAATTTGGGATAAGACTCCACATACAAAATCCTTAGATTTTGGAATCCTTCATTTTCCTTCCATAGATGCATCAATTCAGGAAGATCTCGTAGCCTTAATCCAGTTAGGAGAGAGAGCAACACCCATGCATGCTTTTCCTTACCACCTTCTTCACTTTGGCATATCATCTCTTTAAAGCCACACAACCATATATCAAGTTTTTGAAGACTTGGTAAGGATAACAAGGGGAATAAGTAAGATGGCAGCGACACTACTTGCTTAGGATAAAACTGAAGATTCACAACTTTCAGGTTGGGAAAGCAATGAGATACAAGTTGTTGGTCATCGCAATGCCATATCTCTTTCATTCCAGCATTCCATCCGAAATATAGTTGATGCAACTTTGGAAATGTAAACTGCACAATTCCCATTTGTTTCTTAATGTTAGAAGTTAACAACATGCATAATGATCGTCCAATAAAATGAACACTAAGATTTTATGTGGAAGACCCTTCCAAGAAAAACTAGAGGCGGAAAAAGAGAAAATCCACTAATGAACTGAGCAAAAACAAAACAAAAAAAGAAAACAGCTAAATATTAAGCTTACAAATTTTTCAAAGAAAGGTAGTGTTTTTCAACGCGTGATTTTTGAAGAAAAATGGATGAACTGAGCTGAGAAACAAGAAAAAGCTTCTTGGAACTCTCAAAGATAATTCTTGGAATTTTTATGTTGCTGATTGTGCCTTGTCAATATCTACTCCTACGAAATACTGCATTGGACAACTAAAGCAAGAGAGGATTGAAGAAATTTGTCCAAAATCCTTAACATTCTCTAACCATTCAAGTTCAAGACAAGCTATGCCTAGTTGTTTTCATTGACATTGAGCTGGTTCACTGCAAAAAGCAAGAAAGGATTGAAAACAATTTACCCAAATTCTCAACATTCTGTTACCATTCATGTTCAAGTTAAGCAGAGCTTGGTTGCTGCCATGGTAATTAATTGAACTGGTAAACTTTGCTAGAAAACCCCCAACACCTTTGATGAAAGCTTTTGTAAACTCTAATATCTCACTTAGTTTAGGATGAATGGAAAGATGGTAAATGTTTGATTTGCAGCCATTTTTAATTAGTGAGATAAAGAAGAAAGAAAGAATCAAATTATACTCTTTGGGACGTGGAGAATCACGATGAAGTTCAACCCCATATCAAGTGAGAAAGATGAGGGACCATGAGCCGGTGTTAATAAACAAGAGACGCATAGCTGCATTGCAACATACTTACCTGGATGCGGTCGACGGATGATCAGTAAATCCATGGCCTAGGTCAGCGATCCTCGTCCAATGTTAGTTTAAACATTTTGCTTCCAGCATTGGTTATTGTAAATGAACTGATTTGGGAAATTCAGGACTAGAGGTGTCAAACATCGTTTGGGTTGGATTTTTTGGGTCTGGATCACGTTTGATTTAAGCTGTCAAATTAGATTTGCTTCGGATTTAGTTAGAATTTGTAGTGACCTGGGTGAGTTTAGGGGTGCTTATCGTACGAGTCGATCGGGAGTTGGATAGTGCTCGACTCGTTAAAAAATTTTATTGTTCGAATCGACTCGACTCATTTCTCGTTAAGCTCATTAAAATTTTACTCGACTCATGCTCGTTAAAAAACTTGTTGCTCGTTAAGTTCGTTGCTCGTTCAACTCGCCAAAACTTTTACATTGTTTTTTAACTATAGGTAAAATCTACTAATATTATATAGAACTTAATATAAACATAAATTAATAAATTTAATAAAAAATTACCAAAAGAATGTATGAAGCAATTTTAAAGTCTAAACTTTAAAACAACAATCCACAAATACATTAAAAATAATAATTAAGGTTTGATATTTTTTGTTAGAAAATTAATAGATTAGTAATTTATATTTTTTATTATCTATTAGAAAATTTTAAATGAAAATTTTATTTAAAGATAATTATTAAAAAATTTAACGACCTACATGCGAACTTATCGAATCGAGTTGGACTTTACTCGAATTTGAGTCAAGTCGAGCTTTAACCTAGTTTTGATCGAGTCGAGTTTGAGCTACACAACTCATTAAGCACCCCTAGATGGGTTGGGCTAGGTCAATATCAATATCATATTAGTTGATTAATTAATAAGCTTACAAGGTATCAACACATAATTTTGAAGCAAAATTGTTCAAATGGGTTAATGTTATCCGAGCTGGGAAACAAGAAGAAGCTTCTTGGGAATTTTTAGTTGGTGATTGTTCCTTGTTAATATCCACTCCTATTTTTTTTCTTCAAAAAAAAAAGCTGCCTCACTGCAAAAGAAAACAATTTGGATGATCGTTTAAATTCAAAGACCTAAATTTTTGTAGCCAACCATGTTCAAGACAAGACAAGCTAAGAGAATATTGAAAACAATACGGATGAAGTGGAATGAAATACATCAGTTATTGGTAGCCGCGGGAACATTTACCTTTCAGCTTACATGCTAAAAGACGGGCACACTTTGTTACAAAACCCTCATCAGACTCTGAGATTTCATTTAGTTTATGACCATCTGAAATAAGGAATGAAACAGATTCGAAAAATTCGTATCGAGGACTAATCGTGATAAAGCACTTATCCCACATCGATCAGGAACGAGAAGAGATCACGAGCGAGGCTAAACAAATAAGAGGCAACTAGCTACCTTGCAACATACTTACCTGGACGGGGTCAATGGGTGATCAATGAGGCCTATGGCCTAGGTTAGCGATCTCCATTGCACTTATGAGGGGCGTTCGCCTAAGGTCTCCCTAATGTGGGAGAGCCTACGTTATTATTTGTTGCAGTGGGGGCCTGCGTTCGCGCAGCCTCCTTCCAATCCTAGTGTGAATTATTGGAGACTAGTTATCGCCGAGAGCGATTGTTTGCAGACTTTGAAGTCATTTACAACAGCACAATTCCCTATTGCTTTTGTATATAAAAGGCATCAAGGTAAATCAGGAAAACCAATCAAATGAGGCATTCAAGAAATCATGGGATGATAATCTTATAAGCAGCAAGATTTTGAACAATGAACGGATAAGAAATCAGTAAACTAATTTGGACAAAAGCATGCCAACACAAATAGAAACAAACAAACTTTTGTTGTACTGCTGCCTGCTGAACACACCAGTGGTTATTGTCAGTTTGCAGGAGACCCTCCATGCCCATCTTCATTGCTTGAACATGAACAATATTTGTATCCATTACTGCATGATAAGGACTTCAAAAACAAAGCATACCTATCCACATCCAATTTCATAGAACCGTTAAAATGAGGTGAATGCCAAGAAAAAGATTTTGTTTAACCTGACAACAACAAAAACAATCTCTAGGATCACCAATACATCGCCAAAAGCTTTAATCTAGTGAATGGATCAACTTTTAACAGTCCATAACTTCAAAATCATGTTGAAGTTTCTGTCTTCTCTTTGTCCATGTTGTACTAAAAAAATAAGTTGACTAAATCATCCAACTGGAAGTCAGGTAACTTCTAAATCATCATACTTCATTAAACCAACCAAACATTTCATTAGGTGATACAACTAAAAGTCAAGTAATAAGAAATAATTACCATACAAAATAAAAATTAAAGGGTAATAAAAAAATAGTTACCACATTTTAAAGAATCATTGTTAGATATATTGAGATGGGGGAAATCACCACAGTAACTTTGCTTCTATGAAAAGAACTTTTAAGGCCTGAAACATTTGAACCAAAATAAGATGTGAAGATACTAATTTTTTACCCATATCATTATTATTATTATTATTATTATTATTATTATTATTATTATTATTATCATTATTATTATTATTATCATTATTATTATTATTATTAAATATATTAAATACATATATAAATATTATTAAAAAAATAAATAATAAAAAATAATAATTACAGGCCCAATTACAACTGGACCGGCCCAGTTACAAACCAACCAGAACCGGTCCAAATCCAACCAGAAACCCTAAATATTTAGGTTTCCAGTTAGGGTTTCCTAACCCTAATTTACCCAGCCGCCTCAGCTCACAGCCGTTGGATCTGGCAAGATCCAACGGACCAGATTGTCCCAGATGGAAACCCTAGGGTCTGATACCCTAGGGACACGCGGCCGCCGTTGCTATCTCGCCGCCTCCGCCGCTGCCACGTCCTTAACCGAAGACTCCAGAAGATAGAATACCAGCCGTCCACGCCATGGCTACTCGGTGAGTCACCACTGGTAGTCCGGTGACTCACCGAGAGCCCTTCTTCGGACCGGTCCGACAGCTACAACGGTGGTGGCTATAAAAGCCACCACCCGAACCTGAAAAAAGAAAAAGAGGAGACAGAAACAGAGAACGGAGAAGAAAAAAAAAACAAAACAAAGAAAGGAAAAAAAACAAATATACCAACGATCTCAGTCAACATCAACGCAGCAAGAAGAAAAAAAAAAGAAGAGAGGAAAGAAGCTTACCCTGTCATCGGAGAACCACAACCGTCGCCGGATCTCACCAAAACCTTCGAAAAGCCGAAGGTATTATTTTAGATTTGCTCCGATTGGGAGCTGTTTAACGGAAAAAAACATCGGAACCGTCATTAGGACGGTCCGATCTACATTTAGAATAAAAAATTTTTTTCCGGCCAACGAAGACGGTGGCCGGCGGTGGTGGTTGACGGCGGATGAACGCCGGTTAACGGCTGCCGGCCGGCTGGGCTTCTCTCTGTTATAGAGAGAAGCGAGAGAAACTTCTCTCTCTCAGAGAAGAGAGAGAGAAGGAAAAAAAGAAATGAAATGGCTGGCCCTTCGGGCCAGCCGGTTTGGACCATATATAGTCCTTCCCGAACGACGTCGTTTCGGGAAGGACTATGCGCGTAATTATGAAATAGTTAAACCCCGTCCGCAATCCTCCGTATTTGTAAATTTTACATTTTAGTCACTAAATTAAATTTATAATATTTTTAATTCAGTCTTCGAATTTTAATTTCTTTTATTTTAGTCCTTCATATTAAAATAATATATTTAGGATAAATAACAGATTTAATCCCTTAATTTTAATAAATAATTTTTTAATCCCTAGTTCATATTTTTAATTTATTTTATTATAAAATTCGAATTTTAAATAATTTTATTTTGGTCACTAAATTATTAAATTAGAAAATAAAATATTTAATCCCTATAATTTCAATTAATTAGGAATTAGATTTAGTTTTATTTTTATTATAATTTAGTTATTTATTTTATATGTTTTCATTTATTTTATTGTTTTTAAATATATTGTTTTAATAGTATTTGTATTTTTATTTTATTATATTGTTAAATATTTTTATATTCATAAATATATAATAAATAGTATTTTTTAAATATTTATTTTTAATATCGAAGAAAAGGACAGTCTTAATACAACTGGATGTCCTATTCTGATATTTTAAAATTAAAAAGTAAACAATATAATTTAAATTAATATTTATCAATATCAAAGAAAAGAACTGTCTTAAGGCACCTAGAAGTTCTTTTCGGATATTTTTAAATAAATAATTTTTTTTATAATTTTGAAATAATAGAATTATAAATTAAATATATTTTTGAATTTTAAAAATTTTAATAATAGAGACAATTTATAATTAAAAAGTACCAATTTTGGGCGTTGTAGGGGTGCTAATCCTTCCCTAAACGTAACCGACCACGAATCCCTTTTTATTATTAAAAAGAATGAATTTTTGGTTATAAACGCAGATCAGTTTATTGGTGTTTTATTAAAACTCTTTTAAAAAATAATTTTTAGGTATTCGACCTACCTGACCCAAAAAGCCGATGGCGACTCCTAAATTATTTTCAAAATTATTTATTCACGTCAATTTCCCCACCAAATTTAATATTTCGTGCCCGGACGAAAACCGGTTACGACAGCTTGGCGACTCCGCTGGGGACTGGTCAAACTTTTAAAAATTAATTATAAATTGTCTCTATTAGTTAAAAATTAAAAATTTATATATTTAATTTTTAATTCTTTCTTTTCAAATTATTTATTTATTTATTATTTTTATAATATTTATATGTTTTATTTTATTTGCAAGTATTTTATTTCATTATTTATTTCCCTGTTGAAGGTTTGAACATTTCTCCTCACACACAACACTTGCATTGCATTACATAAAGCTCTATAATTGAGTTGTCCCTTTTAAGTGGGAGTGAAAGCGACGTCTTCGTGAGAATTTATTCTCCGTGTCAGACCTAGTAAGTAACTTTCGGGGTTCATATACTCTATGTTTTCGTGAGAATTTATTCTCCGTGTCAGGCATAGAGAAATGTATCCCCTCGAATTGAACTCGATCCACTTTAGTCTGTAATGGACTAGGATTGAGGGTTAGCAACCCAAGGGGGCACTAACAAGGACAATTCGGGTACCTTTATTCTTAGATCTGAAACCTTGCATATAAAAAACCTTAGAAACTCTTCTAATCCGAAGTCATGCCAAAATTTTGTCCAAAATAGGTGTACACACAGGAGAAATGAATTCTGTCTTTCCTGTTAATTTATTTATTGTTTAAGTTACATGTTTATTTAAATTATTTAAATTCAGAAAAGCATGTTTAAATAAAAAATATTTATCTAAATGTTATTATTATGTAAACTAATTTATTTTCTTTTTTGTGTTCTTTATTTTTCTGTTTGCATTGCATCATACAGGATAAAAGACATTGATCCTTGTGTTAATTGTCTCATTGGAAAGCCTTCATCTATGGATAAAAAGTGTTCAAGTCAAATAATTCTAAACTCAGAAGTAAGACAGTGGGCTGAGGATTTACAAAGACAAGAAGGAGACAGTCTGCAGGATGATTATGTATCTGACTTGGCCAGTTATGTTTCAGTTTCACTAAAAAGAAATGATATGCAAGATTTGCGAAGCATTTGGGAAAGTTGGGATTCAAACAAAAAATTGCAGTTTTATCAGACTTACGGAGACATCCCATATTTGCTCTATGTAGAAGTTGATGATGAATTACTCAGAGCCCTAATTCAATTCTGGAATCCAGGGTACAATTGCTTCACTCTCAATAAGGAAGACTTGGTCCCTACTATTGAAGAATACACAACTTTGCTACATATCGAAGGGGCTTTAGAGAATCGAATCTATTCAAAGTCAATTAAAACTCAACCCTTTCGAGTTAAATTAGCAAAAATTGCCGGGGTACGAGAAGAATGGGTAGCATCCCGTACAAAACAAAAAGGCGAAAGCGAAGGCATTGCTTGGACCAACATCAGAGAACTTATTCAGAACCATCCAGATATTAAAGTACGATTCGATCTATTTGCTCTGGGTATATATGGTATGGTCATCTTCCCAAAAGTATTGGGATATATTGAAGCTGCAGTGGTAGACTTGTTTGAACAGCTACCGAAGAAGATTAATCCTGTTTCTGCCATCCTAGCAGAGACCTTCAGATCGTTAAATGCTTGCAGAAGGTTAGGAGGTGGACGATTCTCAGGGTGTACCCAGTTGTTATATGTTTGGATCCGTAGTCATTTTTGGAGGACGGAAAAGGTTTCATACCGACGCTTTAATACGGATTATTCACCATTAAAAGAATTTCTGGAGCAGGAATGGCCTAAAGAAATTAAGAAAGATATGTGGATTAATGCCTTTCGAAATCTGCAAAGCAATGACGTTGTTTGGCGAGCCCCGTGGCAAATACAAAAGGAATTCATTTACAGATGTGGTGATTACAATTGGATAATGCTGCTTGGATTATGGGGAGGAATTGGATATGCACCACTTCTGGTCATAAGACAGTATGAAGGTCGTCAATTTGTACCTGTCACTGCTGGATTACAGTCATCTGAGTTCGCATTC